GCCCGGCTGCTTTGCGGGTCTGGCTTTGATTATCCGAAGGCTGTGGTTGTAGATTCCTCGAGAAAATTCACCTGCTTTGGACTGGACAAACTAGGAGTATTCCGCCACACAAACAAATCAGTTACCTTTTCTCATCTTTATAGAGGTTATTGTATCGTGATTTGCTTGGCTCACAGTCTGGATTCAGACGTGTGTGATATACAAATATACACCAATGGAGTTCTTAGATAATATCTGATGCGCATTATGTAATATACGGAAAACCGGAACGTGTTCCCAAGCAGAAGGGACAGTATCAAACAGTTCGGAGTGCAGAGAACAAACTCGATGGGCTGATCATTCTGAAAACAGGACCAATAATCACAAGATCATGCCCAAATTGATAAATTTCAGGGGACAATAAAATGCAAGCGGAGGAAGAACACAGGCAGTTTTGTACGGCACAATTGTGATTTAGTTCTGACAGTTATTGTCGATGGTTATACACCAACCTTTGAAATGAGGGTGGGAAAAGGCAGTTGTTAACGTCAATGATACACTCCTGATTATCAGATCATTAAGAACGGAATGGTGGAAAAGAGCTCAGTATTTGACAATATCCGCAGAATCTAGTGAACTCAGTATTATTGAGGTTGAACTTGTTCAAACAGGAATCATTTGCACACTTTAACTTCCGAGCAGGATTTACGATTACACACATGGAACCTATCCAGTTCAGTCCAGTTGAGTCAGCAGCAGATGTATCTCATTTAATAATCACTCAAATTGTTGTTTGATTGCCTACGCATTTGTGCAGCGCACGCTCCTCGCCAGCTGTTTGCCACGAGGCCACACCGATAGCACTGGTCGTTTCACATTCAAATCACCCAGCCAACACACACACGCACGCCCATGACATCCATCAGGTAGCGTGCAAACTGACTGCCATCGGAGTCCACCGAATGAACTTGTAAGGTGAGATTAATTGTTCAAATTGTTTTCTTTTTTCTTGGAAGATTGAAGTTTTTATGTCGAGATTGTGACAGTTCATTAGCTTTTGTAGTATTCGAACACATGCATGAGCGCCGCCTACGCTTTTGCCCAGCACACGCTCTACCAGCTGAACTACGAGGCCACTGACTTTTTCACAATTTTAATATCTCAATTAAATCTATTCGATCAAATGGATAGTTGAGAATAGCAAATCGATTGGTTCAGATTCAGAAGTGAGCATCTCGTTCACCGGTTTCATTGGATTTCTCAAACACACACCACCTCATCCGCTGAGCAGTAGGTGAAGTCTGTTAACAAACTGTGGAGATTGTGCAAACGAGTGCGGACGCACGACGATACAGCTTCCAGGTAACCAATTAGGAATCTGATTTAGCGACCAGTCCTGTGGCCTCAAGTGGCACTAATCGGATTGGCTGAATGCAAGACGGTAAACACCTGAAACTTATCATTGCCGATTGGACATTGAAGAACCGACCAATTATTGTCGGATGCTTGTGGAATATATTTGCATGATTTGCCAAATAGAATCAACTGTATCTACAGCTAGTCTTGGTTCTACCTGACTGCGCTATTCATTGGTTTTTGCGTCCGAATCTGA